ATAATAACAGTAATAATAATAAATAGTAATAATAAATAATTGTAATATCAATATAATAATAATAATAGTAATAATAATAATAGTAATAATAATAATAGTAATAATAATAATAGTATAATAATAATAAGTAATATAATAATAGAATAATAAGTAATAGTAATAATGAATAAATAAAGAATTAATAATAAACTAAGTAATAATAATGAAAAAAAGCAAGTAGAGAGCGTTTCATTTAATCCTAAGGCAACGATGATAGAAGGAGAAATAAATATTTACCAGCTAACTTAAAGACTTTGCCATTAATACCTAAATTATGATATTTAAATCTCCGTCATTAAGCAATGCTCCTTGTACTGTACCAGCGAGAACTGCATGGCGAGATTGGCAGGGCCGCGGCGGGGCGCGCCGCAGGCGAAGACGAGCTGGCCGCGGGCGGCGGGGCGGCGCGCGTGGTTTGTCCATCGTGCGCGGGTGCGGTTCTTCGGCGCGCCATTTGTGCAGACACAGTGAAGCACTTGGTTGGGCGTCGAAGCGCCGAAGAAAACTCGGTTGTGGGCGCGCGTTCGGGCGCCGAAGGGCTATCGTTGGAATCTCTCTTTGTGGCTGGTCCAGCGCAAGCATAGAAGTACAACTGCGCGCAAACAGCGTGGGGCGCCGGCGAGGCACCAGCGACAGCACGTACATTGGTGCCGGTCCCCACGGCTGCGCGTCCGCCCGTCTGGTCCAGCAGCATTCGCGCGCGCCACCACGGCCCCTCAAAACGCGTGCAGATTTCCGCGCCCGGCCGCCAACCCAGTATTGGTGGAGGTGGGTTGATCTGGTGAATTAGCGTGGGGGCCAGTTTTATTAGGGCGCTTCGGCGGCCAGCGTGAAAGCTTACGCAAAGCAGTTGAGCAGCGCGTATGCGCGAGGCGTCGATTCACGCCCTACCCCGCCGCCGCACGGCCCCACACGATTCATCCTAGACACGCTAGCCAGTGCACGCCTGCCGCCCAGCACGCTCGCGCTTTGCAGTCGCCTTCGACTATCGCTCGAACAAGAGGCGACAGTAATGCACGCAGAAGGAGAATATTGATCCGGCTTTTCAGGACAGGAATACAGCGCGAGAAACAGATCAAACTCATTCAATAGACCCGAACGGTTAACAAACGGCCGTGAATAAAAGCGATAGTTCTAAATCTTAGAAGGATTAAAGCGGCCAGCCAGGGGGTGATTAGCAGTGCGGGAATAGGGAAGTTGAATAGTAAGATATTTTAAGGGATTTTGAGTAGCGCAAGCACGAGAGACAGGACATCCCCCTTACTAGGGCAGGATAAGCAGAAAATGTGAGAAGGATAGATGAGGAGAAGTCGACATTCAGGAGGTATAGGAGGAAGAACGTGAGAGATTAGAAAAGGAGGGAGAAGAGGGGCGGGAGAGAGAGAGAGAGACAGTGAGAGCAAGAGGCTGAAATGAGAAGTAATGAGAAGAAAAGATAGAAGAGACGAGGTAGAAAGAGGGAGGACCAAAGAAAAAAGGTAAAACAAAAGAAGAAGAAGACGAAAAAGGATACAAGAAGAGAGACAGAAACAGGAAAATAATTGTTACTAAGGACGACGAGGTAGAAGAGGAGGACGAGGTAGAAGAGGAGACGAGTGAGCGTAGTGATACAGAGAGAGGACAGAGGTAGGAAGAGGGAGGACGACTGTCGTTAGGTAAGAGTAGGATGCACCGATTGAGTACGAAGCGCGCACGAAGTGAGGCACGACTTTTAACAGGATACATATTGTCACGAGCGAGCGACATGTCAGGTCAAATTGAGGAGACGACTCGGCGTACAAGAGGAGACGATTACGTACACCACGATAATCCCGGCGACTGATCTAAAGTTCACCTAATATAAGGAGCAAAGTCACGACGTATACAAGCCAGATGAGGAGCTGCGATTGAGGCCTTACACATTCAAATGGAGAGAGGTGTAGTCGAGGGTACAAATAGTGAGGACGCTGTACGAGAGAGTGAGGACGACGTGAGAATCTAAAATTTCCCCGGTACCAAAGTGTACTCATTCAAAAGTCTTTATTGGGATTGAGCACACCGCCACAAAATGCAAGTGAGGTATCGAGGTACCAGAGGAGGAGAGGTACAAGAGAGGACGTGACGATCCCTACCAGAGGCAATGGCAGTACGAAGAAGGATTCACAGGGCTTACAACAGAGGACGAGGTACAAGAGTGTGAGCACTATTGTGCTCTGTCATATGAGCGGTCGGAGAAAGGGTAGTTCGAGAAAGAAGCACGGGATGCTGCCAATAGTTGGGCCAAAAAACTGAGCAAAAAAGATACCGCGTGCAGTCCCCGACCACGTGCCCGCTGCTCCGGTGTAGAGTCTTGCACAAAAATCACGCATATTCCCACTCTCCCATCCCCCATTTTCCCACCACACAGACTGCGAGCACGATCCCGTCCGCTGACGAGTGTGTCGCAGAGTCGACACTGGTGTAGGTTACAGAAATATATCTGACATTACCATATTTGCAACCGCTGTCTCATCACACAAGTGCAGTATTAAGTAAAGTATAGCTCTCGAAACGTTGCAGAATCTTTCCACTGTTTACTTTCTTCCTTGTTTACTACATGGTGTTACTTTATGTTATGGAAAATAATTCTAAATGTAAACAGTTTCTTAAATCTTACATAAGTTAGTTTAAATATTAGATAAATGTACAATTAACATGCATTATTCACTCTGTACAAATTCAAAGGTAAAATCCAATCCAAAATTTCTCAACTGTTGACTTTTACTTGACGTCGCTCTAGCATCCCTACATAATGTAGAACGTTTAAAAGGGATATTTAATTGAATTGTATCGTTCAAACAGTGGTTAATACATATTATTTGTATATGGTATAAGAATAACACCGAAAAAAACATTTTACATACTGTACGTTTTATGTAATTCAGTCTTTGAAATATAGTGGCAAAATCGTAATACGCGTAAAGTACAAATTTTGTACCAACTACTACTTAAAACTGAAGATTAATAACATTGATATTTAAACATGTTCTACCAAACATGTGTTTTGAAAATTATTTATTAATTTGCTAAAATAGCATACAAACATGTTTAGACAAGTTAAACATTCCATTTGAAGGTGAAGTTCACTCGCGTGGAGCAATGATCAATCACTTCCTTCCAAGTTACGTCACTTCACATTCTTGCTGCAACAGTAAATTGCCACGCCTATGCCTTAACGAGCCATGCACCACCCCACAACCTACGTCACAGCCAGTAATTAACTGACCTAAAGGGTAAAATCAACAACAAAAACGCTAGGAATAACCCGATACGCCTTGTAGAACCAGCGGCAATATCAAACTCATTGGGTTGCCTACGTATTCCAGTGCGAATGTGAGGGCAGAATTCCAATACGTCTTCATTCTCTGGCGGGGCAGAGGTCCAGTCGCAGCTCTCGACCAGGGCAATCAAACAATATCGCATCGGAGTGTCGAGAGGGGCTGGAGGAAAATCCAACCACAACGCAACCACAAATCAACCAAAGGGGAGCCTCGTGACAGGGGACCTCCCATCTTAGAGAGGCGTGGCTTGCGTATTCAATATTATGCTCTTCTACATTTCAGCCTTGAACTGT